CGCTGCTCCCCGGTAAGGACAACAGCGCGTGTTCGTTCCCCACTGCATACACCTGTGGTCCGGAATTTTGCAAATATCTCGGCACTTCACGTGAATTCATAATGTTTACTTTTCATTTCCTGCCTTCTATAATTTTTATGGCAAGGTGTTAAGCGAAATATAACCACGAGAATGCTGAGATATTTGTAATACTCCGGACCGCGGGTGTCTGCGGTGGGGAACGAACGCGTTATTGTCCTCTCCGGGGAGTAACGCGCTCACCACCACACCATGTGGGTCCTTAGTTTCGTCTGTCTCTCAGCTAGTTCTATCGATCTGTAGCGCCAGCAATCACCCATCAACGGGATTGATCTGGGGAGCCCACATCAGCACTGAACCCAATTAAGCTGAAGCTGTAGTTGAATTCACAATGTTTACCTTTTATTTTCTGCCTTCTATATTTATTATGGCAAGGTATTTAGCCGCACTGATCGATAGAGCTAGCTGAGAGACACGCCAAACGAAGGACCCGCATGGTGTGGTGGTGAACGCGTTACTGCCCGGAAAGGACAGTAGCACGTTCGTTTCCCACCGCAGACACCTGCAGTCCGGAGTTTTGCAAATATCTCACCAATCTTGGTTTAGCATCCTGGGTTTGGTTATGGAGGTATTTGGCTCAGTAGATTGCAGTCAGCTTGACCTTTCCAGACTCTGAGGAAGGTAAAATGCGCCCAAACATCAGCTTTTCCATGATAAAGAGTAAAGTAACAGGTCGTATTTGCTCAACACGAGTATGAAGGACTATTGGATCAATGCTGAGGGAATATTGAATTTTGCCATGTAATCCCTTCATCGTTTTATAAGATCGAATCTTAGCATCAAATAGCTATAAAAAAATCCCATTAAACTAACTTCGGATTCCGACCGGATCACGACAAATTCGAGTCGCTGAACTCGTCGCAGGATTTGGCTCAACGCAACACTTCTGTATCCCTGGACAGTTGCTGTCCATCCAACAACCTATAGCGGCTTCCTGAAAAAGACAAAACCGCCTTATAGAAACAGTACGTAGTAATAAATGTCTAACAAAGGCAATAGCTTGTCGCCACATACTCTTTGTCATTCAATTGATCCTAATATTCACGTTTGCAAGCCCTTTGTATTAAAATTTACACCAGACGCATGTAGGATGTAAAATGGCATGTGGATCTCTCCCAATGATTTAAATTTTATATTTACACTTCCACAGATCGATTAGGAGCTTCCAAATCGAAAAAATTGTCATCTACTGTGACAAACGTCACCGTAATCCAGACATTATACCTCGGATATCCCACAGAGCAAGAGCTTAACAAAAGGTCTTTGAATAAAATCGGAGATGCACAGCCTTCATGTCATTCGAACGAATTGACGGTTAACTGACACAGCGAAATTGTCTCATGCTCTTGAGCGAAATTAATTATTCAAAGTTGATCTCAAGGAGGGTGGGTGGTGAATAGAATTTGTTCTCTTCCTCATAAACAACTCTCTCTCTCTCTTTTTATGTTACCACGCTGTTATTACGTCATTCGTAGCCTGTTCTCTGTTTTATGGCTACCAATAGTGTATTTCAAAAATGCATTTCCTTAAACTCATCAGTTAAAGTACTACTTGGATTGTATAACTAAATTGCGCGAAACCATGTTCGTCGTCGAATAGTGACATTGAACTGCCCATTTTGAGCGTTCAGTGAGCTCTATTACCCATAAGCTGCCCATGATCGCCTGTGATCCTATTTCTTCTAGTGAAATCTTACATACGACTTAGTCTTGATCTTTCATAGTTGAGATACACGTATGGGCATTGATTGTTTCATTCAATCCAATTTTCGCATTAATTCCGTTATTGGGCTGTTCCCTATGTGCTCATATATGTACAAAGGTTTATTTACTAAATTTAAGGTTCGCCCGGTGAAAATCCACTGTTACAAGTCATAGAAAAACAAGCATTCTCTATTGATTGAGCCGAAGCAGAGCAAAAGGCGCAAGATATTATTATCTTGTGAAATATTTAGAGCATTAGAGCGTGTTATCAAACCATCTAGGTCTCAGTACATTTTGCATTCGATCAAAATTGTCGCACTGAAGTGTTCTCAGGTGGCGACCATAGACAGTCGCCGACCGTTGCGGAGCGGAGTTTGGTTTGGTGCTTTGGGACGGGTTTTCATCAAAGACGGTGGCTAGTATTGATTTTGTTTTATGTAGTATCAAGCGATAGTATCCTATTGACAAACTCAACACTCCATCATCCTGATCGTTCTTTATATCGCCATCAGGATATGAATACCACTTTCCTGGGATTAAACACCAAACGTTGAGAGCATTACAGATATTTTTAACAAAAATCATTAATGATTGATTCTTTAAGTTAATATGTTGATAACAGCATATATACAGTGGTATACTCTATATATATACATATATATGTATATATATATATATATATCAGAAGCACAGCATTTTGACACTGGACTTGAAGTATTTCCAGAAATTTAGAATGGAAGATAGTTCTTTGAAGTGGTGCTTCGAGTACCCGTGAGCATGCGCAAGAGGTCATACCTGCAATACAGAGACACCTACTGGTCGAGGGCATGAGCCAGATTTAGCGTTAATCTCTGACGCTGGAATTCCTGGAATCAAAAGCTATTATACGAAAACGACAAATCAACAATCTGGCCGCAATCTAAAGATTGTGTGAACTTTAGGAAATCACCCATACGACTAATGTTGCTCGCGGAAAAATGCTTCGATCTTTGTTGTTTAATAAAATGAAAGTGGAATGCATATGTACATTCTATCTCTTGAAATTGTCATAAGAGCTAAGGAAGGAAGCATTCCCAATTTATCAGTTCTTTGGGAATGCGTCATGCTTCCGACTTTATTAATCAGCCTTGAAATGGTTGAAGGTGTATTTCAACTATATTATTACTTGCTAGGATCAACCGAACTACGAAGTTAGCCTTTTGTCATTCTAGACAAATCTGGCACCAATTTTCCCAACTCAAGAAGGGGTCTTGAAAATTCTGTGGTGTGGGGCGAACTCCAATTTGTGTATACAGCGCAGTGCCTCCACCCTTGTCCTACGCATGCCAATCTGATGGTTGATTATACTCGTAAGAACCACGGTGTCTAATATGCTTTCTTTTATTCCGAAGAAAGAATTTATGTGGTGACAACGTTTGACATTTTTGTCCAGGTTTTTCGTATTTGCATTCATTCTTAGTTATGAACCTCAAGGCAAACACATGCACACACCCTTAAACACACAATCTCTTTGTCTTCAACGATGAGAACAGCAAATAAAACTTAAATTTATTCACATATTTGATGCATACTGGAAACTTGGAATGATCATCAACATGTACTTTGTTTGGCGCAGATAGCGCAGTGGTTAGAGAGCACTGCGATAGACACGCGGTCTTTGCCTCGGTCCCGTGCCTTGGGTTAACAAAGCTCCCACTTCTCCGAGGTCGAAAACTCAGTACCACACTTCTCTTAGAGGATTAAAACACCGATTTATACGCATACGTAAAAAACTGTACGAGATAATTTGCATTCAGTCACTTATATAATGTTACAAATGGAGTTGAATGAGTAGATCATCCCTTAGAAACTGATAGATACCAGGCGCTTAATCCTCTGTCCTTTACATATTTGACGACGTAGACTAATCATCGACGAGTGTAGATGAAGCCGTGGCATACCAGTAAGTTTTTTCTACTGGTTTTCTTTTGACACATTAGTTACACATACTTTACAATGTTGGTTTCGCGAAAAATTTCGATAATTTTTCAGTAATTGTTGCATTTAGAAGCTGAAAATCCCACAAAGCTTCCAACTCATAGATTACAAAAGAACACCTGAAACCGAATTTGAACTTTTTGAAATTTATGTGCAAGTCTCACCTACAACAACTACGCACCTCAGGGAAGCGCAGAACCCTATATGGAAAGATCTCGCTTGTTCAATCGTCTCGCTGTTCGAGGTAGGGTATTCAACAAAGCAAAGAAGAGCCTTTCCAGACTACAGAAAATCATGTTACCATCTTGCTAGACAAGAATAACTTTTCCCTGCTTGCATTTGTGGAACCTACCGAATGCTATTAGGAATTATGAAGTTAAATGAGATCAGACGTGTTTGCTCAAAGTTGAAGGGTTCAATTATTTTCGCACATATGCCTATTGAGATCAACAGTGCATACCGTCGCGAATATGTTGGGTAATAGAAACCCTTTCAATGGTTCCCCGACTAATCGAGATGTTGATGTTCATGGGTATCGGACTGCGAAGAACAATCGTTTGAGTCATCCAAGTGAAGAAGTGAGTATATTAGGTCAACATTTAGCAGAGCCAAAGGTGAAATTTTGCTAATAAATGCCTAAGAGGTCTTGGAAGAAGTCTGGCAGTAAAACGGTAAACTTTCATGCGATCACCTATATGCATGGGTGCAGAACTCCCTATGTCGGCGCCCTTGGAATGGAAAGACCTGGTGAGGTCACCTCGTGACACTAAGCGGAAAAAATCTTCTCTACTAAATAAGTACCAGCAAAGTGGAAACTGTCCTTGTGTCCTTACAACATTTGAAGACTTGCTCTAATTACCTTGTGTTAAAGTACGCGTGTAAGGAAGAAAAGGGTTGTTTATGGTTTGAAGCATTTTGAAACAAAATTGTTTTGAAACTTTCGTGAATACGGGACTGAATGTGGGGTCATACCATACAGAAATAATTGTTGTCTTCAGCTCGAAACCAGCTTCTCGATTAATAGTGAACACTATTCATTAGATCAAAAAACACTAGAATGTACTGATCTTCACCTAGGAAATGTGAGTTCTACTATTCTACAACTACAAAATTGTAGTTTCCTGCAGACCACGAAACGTAAGGCATTTTTCAATCTTAACGTTTTTATTTACTGCCTACTCCTTTTAACGGCAGGGTATGCTGCGAAATATAACTTCTATAATGCTGAGATATTTGCAAAACTCCGGACCGCAGGTGTCTGCGGTGGGGAACGAACGCGCTGTTGTCCTTTCTGGGGGTTAACGCGTTCACCACCACACCATGCGGGGTCCGTCGTTTCGTCTGTCTCTCAGCTAGTTCTATCGATCACTGCCATTAAATAAAAAGCTTAAGAATGTGATTATAACTACATCCTCCGTTGACGGGTTATTGCTGATGGCAAGTGATCGATAGAACTAGCTGAGAGACAGGCGAAACGAATGACCCGCATGGGGTGGTGGTGAACGCGTTACTCCCAGGAAAGAACAATAGCGCGTTCGTTCCCCACAGCAGACACCTGTGGTCCGAAGTTTTGCAAATATCTCAGCATTATAGAACTTTTTTTCACTTTTTTCGTCAAAGTACTCTCCACCTAAAACAATGGGCCAATGGGATTTCTCCCGGAACACACGAAGGTGTTCTCCAGTCTATCGCTGATTTTTGCAGTGGTATTTTAAAACCTTGAATTTTACTTCGAAATCTTAGCGATTTCAATTCTAGGAAAATCTGATGTGGGAGAGGAAAGCTTCTTCTACAAGTTTGCATAATTCTGTAGATTGAATATGGTCTCGATTACACTACCAATAGAGAAATCATCGCCTGTACCTTAACCGTGAATATGCCAGATGGAGGTCTTAAGATTATGTGAATTTCACAATGCTACACGAGACATGAAAACTCATACATTAGATTTAGCAATAACAAGGGATGATAGGTTAAAGTTCAGAGAGCGTGGGCAAGTTTTTTCATCGAAATTTCTAGCTTCTTAGAGCAATCGAAAGGAAGCTGTTCAAAATTTGTGCTTTGTTTCAACAAATTCAACAGAAATTCGATTTCGTTGCTGTTTTTTCTAAGTTACCTGCAGTCTCAACTTGACAACACTTGTTGCCATCCGACTGTATGCAAACCTGGCCAGAGAGCGGACAGGTGACCGCATCCGCAGTGCACTGTATCAACGTCGCCGAACTGAAGAGCAGCTTGCAATAAAGAGGTCAGATCTATTAAATGCAAATAACTTTGGAAAATTCTAGGCAGGTGAAAAGAAGGCGTGGAAAAGTTTTTTGTAAGACATTATCACTTTCCATTAGAGTACAATTGAAGAAATCTTTTGCAAAAAATTACATGCTCTTTGAATTTCGAAGAAATAGTGCCTTCTAAAAATTTTTGTAGGAAGGAATAGAATAGGAAATATTTCCTGAGATTTTCAGATTTTCGTGAAATGAACCTTGAGCACAGTCCTATGCGGCGTGGTGGCTTCGACGTTACCTTTGGCTTAGGTGTGGGACATTCAGGATGATTCTCTAGTTGTCCAGTCAGAGCGTAGTAGTCACAGATGTCAATCGTGTAGCTCAAATTAATCTAAAAACGTTATAAAGCCAAAAAAACAGCCAATTGTTTGAAAATTTTATTTGGAGTTCTTCTTACAAGTAATACTAAAGGTTATCCAGGTAGGAGAAATAGTAGTGAAAGGCACAGCATAGAAAATTTTCTACTCTAAGCATAATATACGTCATCTTTCCCGACTGAACATAAAAACACTTTCCCATAAAAGAAGTTCTTCTTAGACTATTGCAGAATTTTCGGAGAAATGGGCTAGCTACTAAGGGAAATTTCATTTATTGATCACGTCGTTCAGAAAATGAACACTTATTATCAAGTAATAAAAAAACTCTCCAAAGGACGTCAGTAAATTTCGTATGAAAATATTCAAAAAATTGGAAGTTTTTCAAGATGTGTGCTACATAATTAGGAAAAAGGAACGCGTAGGTCTTTTGGAAACTTGTCTTTCTAGGAACTTCTTAGGCAGAACAGGTAGACCATTCATTTTTCCAGGAATCCATTGTGACAAAACAAAGCCAAAAATTAGGTGGCTTACTAGGCAGAATAGATTTCCAATGAAAAGTGGTAAATTTTCTTTTTACCACGGAGTATTAAACCAGTAAAGATGCTACCCCAGATAAGATCGCTTAGAAAAAAGAACTACTGAAAGAGATAACTTCTAGACACTTACCAAAGATAGAAAAATCCAAAAAACCATAGTAGATGTCCTATAGCCGATTTGATAACTCATATGAGGTGTCCAGTGCACTTTTATATGAATCCCGAGCTTTGTGGGTGGGTTGTTAGGTGCGAGAGGGAAAGTGCACACCGGTCAAGGAATGCGCGAACTACGGTGGTCAGCGTCGAGAGCGAGAACAAACAGACTTCGAGCATGGAGAAGCTGGTCTGAAACACACCTCTGTGCAGTGCTTCTATGATGTTATTGACGGATCAAATAGCATTCGATAGCTATCGTTCGTTCGAAACGGATAAAATCAAAATGCTCGTTATTCAGCATACGGTTTCTGTCAGTTTCGAAGTGAAGGAAATAGGTCTTAAAAGAAACGGGGCTGTTTTTTTTAATGCTTGAGGTAGGATTCACATCAAACTTAAACCGGTCGAGTTCGCCGGTCGGCAATTGTTTGTGTGACTTCTTCATCAATTTGAGCTAACTAACTCATGTATGTTTGATTATTATTATTGTCCTATGAAATTTTCTCAAAATGCACTGCAATATATGTATATACATATGCATGCAAACTTTTGTAGCCTTTCTTCCTACTAACGTCCACTTGAAAGGAAGGCTGAGGTTACTAAATTGATAGTAATGAAGCTGCTCATGTGTAAAGAAGCGGTGTTGGAACAACGGAGCAAGGCTTTTCTAGAAAATAAATTCTTCAAGCACACAGTTTAAATTGTTCACTTCGAGGCCGGTAATTTAACTCACAGAATTTAATGGAATTATCCACGACTGTCCCATTAAATTCACGAAGACCGTGGTAATAGAATGTTCTTCAGTTTAGGACTTTGTTTTTGAACAACAAAAATCGCCATGGAAAACCAACTAGATCGACCTACCTTTCGGAATATTTATTCCGAGACTCAGCTGCGAAAAATTTGTTGTCAGTAGCTGCAGAGATTATCAGGTAACATAGTATACCATGATAGCAAGTTTTTAGACGTAAAAAGAGTTATACACACCCTAGAAACAATATGAGTGATTAAGGAGACGAGACTGGTAGTGAAAGACGATGTACTTTTAGCAGCTAATATTTATAGGTGGTAACGACCGTTGCTGTACCCAAAGTAGCTTCTGTTCCCTCTTAAACCAACCGCAAGCTTCTCTAGAGAGAAGTATCTCCACTATCGATAGTCCCTCACGCACCAATTGAACTCGTTCAAAAACCAGTTTCTTGTAAAATGTTAGCTATACAGAACATTTTTGCGGCATGTGAATTGCTCAGCACAATGATTTGCGGTTGGTAAGCTATGGGCTGTTTACAAGAAGTTACGCAACAAACCTGTAAACGGTAAAATAGACGGAAGCGAAGAAATGACTGGATATCCACAGGTGCCGCGTGTAGCACAGTGTTTAGAGGCGCTCTGCAGTACACAGAAGTTCGATTCCAAACCCCAGGTTCACCATGCCTTCCATCTCTCCGACGTCGGCAAAGTGGTACCGGACTTTTCTGGGAGGATAGCAGCACTGGCTCGATACATCGGTAGGCCACTGCCAGTCATTATAAAGGCCAGAAATGCATTCAATCACCTCCAGCGATACTTGATGAAGTCAAATGCGTGGCACATCCGTCAGGGATTGATCAACGCCAAAAGCTTTATCCTTTATCCTTTATCCATAACGCTCATTATATCAATCCAGATTTAAGTGGATATCTGCTCATGGCGGATCCTAAATGTTAAAACTATCAATGTGGTCGTTGCCACGGAAAAGGTCGTCTTATATTACACTATTGGACAAGAAGACCCCCTCTGTTTAGCTACCTACTAGAATTCGGGGTTGACAATTATTGAAGATGTACAAGGAACTTACTGAGGTACACGTTTTCTTATCTACTCGTATACTGTTTATTATAAGTTACAAGACAAATTCTATTCGAGCGTTAAATTATTCATAACGTGTTTCTCTTTTGGTAAAGGGAACCTTTTTGCATACAGGAAGCAATTTAGACTCTTATAATCCTGCATATATCACATAATATTCTCATATTTCGTCACAGTTACAATTTCCTAGCTTAGTTAGCATGTTTCTTTTACTTTCTTCCAAGTTTTCATCTACGCTAAACCTAGTTCTTTTCGTCTTCTTTGGCAGCACAATGCAGGATAAGTATTAGTTCTAACTATGGCGAAAGATAACGACGCCATTTATGGCATCAGCATTCCGCTTAAAATAATGTCATTTGTAAATCACAATGCCGAAGACACTTTTTAATTTGCCTTCTATTTTTTAATGGCAGGGTATTATGCGAAAAGGGTTTTGCAAATATCTCGGCATCATTATGGTTATTTGTAAAGTGCTTTAGTTCTCTGGAACACCTCAAGCAGGATAGACAAGACGTGGATGCAAAAATATGCAAGCCACCTGTATCATGCTTTTTCTAGAAAGCTTCTCATTTTTGCCGTTTTTTTTTTCAGAAGAACTAACAACTAGTGGGTTGATTGGGAATGAATGAAAAGTTTGTATACGTATAGATAGTTGAGCGCTATTATCAAAACCGATAAAACTCTGCAATAATTGCAGAGCTAAGAACATATACAAATTTCTCCTGTATATGTTGCCTACCGATAATGGAAATCTGACACGAGCAGGTGAATCGGTGATTCCAGTTAATGAACGACGAATGTTTGCTAAGTATTGTGTCCCATACCGCGCATAAACTTGACTCAGCCGGAAGATGTTTACTGGACTGCTGGTCTTAAAATCTCCTGTACTACGATAAGAGCGTTGTTTTATTATAGAGATGAACACGATGACTACTGACCGGACAAGTGGTCTAACAACATTTAAACGTGTCACAGAACTGGAAATTTCACTCTCGCTTCCAGCTCAGGTGATCCTTTCCTGGAATACAACGTTATGGAGTGGCACGGCTCGCCACCCAGAAACCTTAATTTATCGCGGTGAAGTGATTATCGATTAGATGGTTTCATTTCATTTACACCGAAGATACATAAGAATGGTTCATTTTTTAAATAAACAGACAAAAAGCATACCAAAAAAAACAAAGGAAACAGAAGTCATTTTTTACAGCAACTACGGTGTGTTGTGTAGTGAAATGAATTGACGTCTGTTCATATGGTTCGAAAATAACGGCGATTTTCAACTTGAAATCTGGATACCGCCCCATAGGAAACTTTATTAATTGAAACAAAAATCGTTAGAGTAAGCAAATTTTTGACAATAGTTTGAAAGCTTTTTATTCTCATACAATATGATTTTATTTAGCTCAGAAAATATACTACTGCCGTTCCACTCATTGGGCTGATCTTTTCCAACACGACTGCGGTTGTTAAAAACAGTAGGAATTCCGAATACGCCGAAGCACCTGAACGGCACACTGTTGTCATTTATTCAGTCGCGAATGTGTTAGGAAATTTGAAATCTGGTTGTTTTTATTTTATAAAGGAGTTCAGTTTCGGAAAACTCAAAAAACCAAATCACACTTTGAACTACTCTACTTATCTGAAATTAACCGACAGTTGTCGAGAAATCAGCTTCGAACAGTATGACCTGAGAATAAACGGACGTAGTTGATAGGTTATCCAATAAAATATTTAGAATAAGAATTAACAGTTGCTTTCTATCGTTAACGTTCGTGTATAGTGAAATATAGGGTTACAGATGAATTTGATGACTTTAATCATATTAGAGGGCTATGCCAAACCCATTATGTATACGTTGAGACTGACCGGCACAGTTGTGTGGGCTAATCGAGTGTGGCTGTTGCGTGCTACAGCGCGCATGAGCGGCAGTGATGAAGCACTTCCCCCTCGCAGTTTCCACTGATGTACCGTGAAGGGCTGAGCTTCCTTGGATGCCTGAGCCACTCAAACTCGACGCCATGGACCCGCATGCAAGGCGGAGGTGTACCCAACTCCACTGGGTGGAGCGGACCCGATGAGCAGGAGCACCGTGAAGGACAGAGACCCGCAAAATAGAAAGTGAACGCTCATCAAACAAAAACAGTTAAAACGGACGATAAATAAAAAGAACTAAAACAGAGCGTTTTATCGCCTTTAGCAGAATTTCTTTTGACAGTAAATTTGGCAGTATTTGGCCACTATTTGCTTCGTCAAATAAAATATTTGATGTTGCAAAACAAGGTCGATTGTAATGCGCAGGGCAAGTAAATCATGGATTGCCAACTCCTCCTACATACACTGTTTTATCCATTTTATTTTGCTTATTTTATCTGCTAAGTCCTGGTCCACTTGATTCTCCCTCGAGTCTTTCGGTGGTGGGGCTATGACGTACCAACTTAGATTGGAAGGAGTAAATTGATCCCAAGATCGACTTTCTCTTAACCTCGGCATTGGAATATGAATGTGTCGTTTTCTTGTTCAGCAATCGCGAGGTTTTTAAACAGCATACATTTACTTCCATAAAAACACAATACAATACAACGCTAGCTGACGTTTCGGCAGTATCGCCTTCTTCAGAGCCTGGAAGGGTATACTGATATACAATCTACTAGGCCAAACGCTTCAATAACACTTACAAGAAGACGAAAGACTCTTTGGTAATTACACGATCAACAACTTCTCGAAAAACCCACCGCTTTTTTCGTGACTTCCAATGAGGAAGTTTAGGAGTAAATTGAGCCCAAACAAGTCTGGTATAAACTTTGCGACTCCAGAGAGTTAAGAGGCTTGGTGAGCTTAGTGCAACGTCGAAGCAGTACCGTGCTTGTTGTGAATGACGTACCAAAAACCGTGGTACCCGTCCCGTATATTTCATCCGTTTTATTTGTTTTTATTCCACTTTTTCGTTTTCCTTTTGCTCGCATTTATTTTTACTTATTTGTGGTTCTGCTACTCGTATATCCATATGTTTTAGTCAAATTTAATTTATATGTCATCAAAACCAAACTATTCGTTGAATCGTTGTGATATTGACAGCAGAATAGAAGCCTTTTTTAAAGGACCCCGCACTTAACGCCCACTGTGCAGACCACAGCGCTTCTCACATTCGATTCGTTTCCTCAAATCCATCATCTACGAAGGTCTCCCAAGTGTTTACGTGTGGCTTCGGCTGCTTCTCAAGGATTTTCCTATCATTAATGTCGTTGAATGTTGGTAAAGTCGATTCTCCCTAGAATCTTGAGATTGCCTGGTTGGAGGCTTCGGATCCGCGATTGCCCTTATCGACGGCTTACGCGCTATCAACTACACTAACCGAGCCCTTGCTTTGCCTTTCTGTCAGCCAATTTTTTTATAATGTTATACCTTTTTATTTTCTGCCTACTATAATTTCGCGGCAGGGTACTAAGCGAAATACAACCACAACGTTGCTGAAATATTTGCAAAACTCTGGACCGCAGGTGTCTATGGTGGGGAGCGCGCTATTGTCCTTTCCGAGGAGTAACGCGTTCACCACCACACCATGCGGGTCCTTCGTTTCGCCTGTCTCTCAACTATTTCTATCCATCTCAGTATACATTTTTTTACACTCTAACCGTGCTTTCAGCAATCTTCCGCTATCCCATGCAGCGCACAGCGAGTGAGGCACCGTAACTCCTTTCGGTATGCGCGGGTTCGAAGCCCAACTGAAATTCCGAGTTTATCTTATATCTAAGCAACTTTGTGACTGTATTTTACGAAATAAGAATCGCTAAAATTTACGAAGTTTTGTACATAGGGAGCAACAATGCTTACTTCATTTGCTTAGAAGTCAGGAATTTTGGAAACTTGGCTTCTGAACAATTTCTCGCATAGGATGTTGGTCGAGGTGGTTGGACAAAT